GAATGTAATTTATATGATTTTGTCAATATACAAATTAAGTTTTTATATATTTTATATAATTACTTGTATAAATTACCAAATAAAGATATGAGCAAGGTCTCACCTTAATACCAAAAAAAAAAAAAAAAAGTCTTAAAATCCTAATTAGACTATAATAAAAATAATTCATATTATTAATTATTTTTATCACAGTCTAATCAGGGCTTTTCAAAACTTCGTGATTACTCTTTTTTGGTTAGTTTAATTTTAGTAGTGTTTAAATTAGCAATATCATAATAACATATACAAGATATAAATGTATACTCAACTACCAAGATCCAAGTAACAAGTTGCTTTCAATTAATCTAAAAAGAGTGATTGCGAAGTTTTGAAATCCTAATTAGACTATGATAAAAATAATTCATATTAATTATTTTAATCACAGTCTAATCAGAACTTTTTAAGACTTCATGATCACTTTTTTTTTGTTAGTTTGAGCCACCAGATTTTAGTAGCATTTAAATTAACAATATTACAATAACATATACAAGATATAAATCTACACTCACAACTACTAAGGTCCAAGTTTGCTTTTAAATTAAACTAAAAAGAGTGATTGCAAAGTCTTGAAATCCTAATTAGACTATAATAAAAATAATTCATATTAATTATTTTTATCATAGTTTAATTAGGGCTTTTCAAGACTTCATGATCGCTTTTTTTTTGTTAGTTCAAGCCACAAGTGCAAACTTTGATCATAATCTATTATATATCTTAATTACAAGTTCGACATCAATTTTATATCCATTAAAAGGTCTTTCCTTGTTGTTATTTCTGCTATGATGATTTCAAATGAATAAATATCTGTTGCTTAAGTGTATGGTTTTCTTTGAAAAAGTTCTGAAGCAATGTAAGGCAAGACACCATGAATCTGATCTTCATGTTCTTTTTCATCAAGTGGTTTTGATAAATCTAAATTGGTAATATATGCTTTGTAATCTTCTTTTAACAAGATATTTCCCAGATGTAAATCCCAATATACCAGGTTTTAGTAGCATTTAAAATAGTATTAGCAATATCATAATAACCACATAACTAAATCTGACTAAAATTGTTTTCTATAAATATAAATATATAGAATAAAATAAACAAATTTTATCAAATTTGGTTTTGTGATTATTACGATATTGCTAATACTATTTAGATGCTACTATAACTGATAGCTTTGTTTTAATAATCAATATATTACACATATATTATACATCATAATTCTGTACCTAAACTCCAGACTCATTATCATTCTAAATATAACCAATCATGATATTGCTTGTAGAGTGTCTAGACTTCTATGATTTTAGAAATTCATTGTTTCAACAATGGTAAATTTCTGAAATTGCTTAAGATAAAAAATCAATAATAATACAGTGTAATATAAATCACGAGAAGTTCTTTCTTATCCATAGATTCACTTGTAATCAGATAAATATTTATCTTAAATCATGTCTACAACATCTTATTTGATTACTGATTCCTCTGCTAAATCTTCTTCCGAAAATATTCAAAATTCCCTTCAGACAGCTATAAGTTCTAATAATATTACAAATTATATCAAATTTGAATATTTTGAAGGCTCTACTAAATCGAATTCTAAAAATTTTAATAAACATGAATATTCTGCTAAAAGCAATCGCTCAAAGAAACAACACTTAAGATTTAGACAAAAACTTAACCCAGTTTGTGAATATATAGATGAACTAAGCAATGAGCTTAGTGACAAAGCCTTTAAAGTTTGCAAAATATGCAATAATAAGTGGGCTGAAGGAACATCAATTTCAACTATAAAAAGTCACTTTAAAAGCAAATATTCACTTATCTTTGAAGATCTTCAACAAAACTCTTCGAGTACTCAATCTTCTTTTTACTCAACCGTTATACCTATTGAAATAAATCATGTTGAGTCTTTAAATAATGATCTATTAAAATATATTATTATTAAACAACAACTGTTTTCAACAGTTGAAGCAGATTCATTTATCAAATTGGTTAATAATCTTAATCTGCATTATAAGTTGCCTTGTCGTCAAACACTTTCTACAAATATAAAAAACTATTTTGACTTAGAAAGATTAAGAGTAAAAGAAAGTCTAAAGGCAAATAAAAGTAAATTTGCACTTACTCTCAATGTCTGAACTGCGTGTAATCAACAAACTTTCCTTGGTATTACTGTCCACTAGGTCAATAATGAATAGATATTAAAAACCTTACTACTTTCTTTATATAGTGCCCATACTGGAGAATACCTTGGTTGAAATGTTCTTGAACTCCTTAATGATTTTGAAATAAATGATAATGTAATTGGTTTTACCAGTGACAATGCATCAAATAACGCAATGTGTTTAAGTTAACTTAAAATATTTATAAGCCCCAACTTTATGTATATCTGTTGTGCGACACATGTTATTAATCTTGTAGTTAGAGAAGTTCAAAAAAAATATAATGAACAAATTAAAAAAGCTCGTCGTTTTTGCAATAAGTTAAAAAAATCACCCTTACTTTTAGGTAAAATAGAGAGAATTTCTGCCATCCTAAATCAATGATTTCTCCATCCAGAAATAGACATCGATACAAGGTGGAACTCCACCTACTTAATACTTAAACGGCTTGTTGAAATTAAGCCTATTACTGATGGCCTTGTGTCAGACATAAGAGATGATTATTTAGAAACTAATGAATGGAATATGATAAATGAAATGATTGAATTTCTTGAACCTTTTTATACAGCAACCATGGTATTGTCAAATGCTTCTCAAACCTCTCAAAGATCTATGCAAATAATTATTCAAGGTCTCTTCTTGCATCTCAATCATTATATTATGCTTGATACACATCAAGATATGGTTAAAAGAATGAAAGATAAGCTATATGAATATTGGACTTATCTTTCTCAATCTTTAGCTATTCCTGCTCTTCTCGACCTCTTGAACAAATTTAAAGCTTTCTATGATACTGACTGTAAACTGTCTATTGACCAGTTAAAAGAAATTTATTCATCATATAGTTCTAATAATTTAGTGTCAAATAATTTAAAAACTGCCTTCAAATCAGAAGATCAATTGGGATTTTTCAAAAAGCTTATGTGACCAAGTGAAGATAAATCAACTGAGTTGGAGGAAGCTAATGAGCTAACAGCATATCTTTCTTTACCTTGTGAGCATGGTGCTAATCCACTTTTGTGGTGGAAAGTTAACACTTCTCGTTTTCCAACTCTAGCTTGCTTGGCAGCAGACTATCTTGCCTTGCAAGTACTAGAAATCGTCTTATTGATCAAACGGTAAGAGCTTCATTATGTTTGAAGAGCTGGTTAGACTGAATTATAAAATAGTATATAGAATAGAATACAGTAGAATAGAAAAAAAAAAAAAAATACTGTATCTTTGTTTAACGTTAAGGTTGGCTAAAGCGGAGTTAGGGTTACCTTTTTGATGATGTTCTAAGGTTTTTTTTATATAAATATCAAGAGTATCCGCTTTAACGACCTCCAAATATAGAAATAATAAAGATTATATTATATCGTTAATCATGATTTTGTACAACTTCATGTGATTAAAAACTCAAGTCTGTGTTTGGTACTGACTCGACTTCTGGAGTCGGATAAGTTTAAGTAGATCATTTAACATCCCTATATATAAGGGAGGTAATAAGAATTCTAATGCTTTTGTTCTTTTGATCGGGTATTTGACAATAATTTCGGGGCACTAATTATGGGATTTACGATTTATTATAAAGGACTTTTGGTATCAAAGGTATAGTTTTAAGGAACAACTTCTACTATTTGAACTTCGAAGTTTTTGGGTTTTTAGTTTTAAGAACTCGAATGAGTTATCTTTATTTGCGTGAAAAGTCATCGCATTTTATAGTTTTTACATTGCTACGGCTGTAATGGCTCAGCGCATATGTTGACAAGTTTTCTTCATTGTAAAGATGAAGAAAATGAAATAAATGAAATAAATTTCATTTATTTCACTTTCGAAATTTTCATGACCTTAGGTTATAATTTCACTAATCTACGTTGTTATCATATTGGCTAACTATGCTAAGCTTACATTTTTGATAGGTAACCGTTACAATGTTACAAAAATAAAAAATAAAAATAAAAATAGGAAAAAAATAAATTCGGGGCCACTGGAGCCCCTTACAACCTAAAGTAAACCGTACATATCTTCTAAAAATAAAAATAGCTATAATTGATAATATAATAATTCCGATACCAATAAATGCGCCAATATTATTAAATAGGTTAATATTATTAGATAATGGCATTGATATTGTTGTTGCAGTTGAAGTTGTTGGGAATTGTTTGGTAGGATCATATGAAGTAGCCCATTCATAATTATCCTTTTGACTTACATCAAGAAAAAAAACATTATTTGTACTATTTTTACCTTGACCATCTAAAAATTAAAGTTATTTTGTAGTAAATATTAAACTCAATGTTTAATTTTATATTATAATATTTACTTACCCAAGCCGCCAAATGCAATAAAAATATATGTTCCAATCAGTATTGAAGTAAAATGTCTTAAGCCAATTGTTGGACCACCAGCATTTTTAATTTTGGGAATTGACCATTAAAATGTCGAGGAATCAAGCCATAATTGGCATATTCGTAATTGACGTATTCGAATAATTTGAAAGTCCATAAAGTATTAAAATTTGATTATATTGAGCTAAATAAAAATAGTAAAGTGTAAATATTGTTAGACGAAATACTATAGCATATGGAACATATATACCTACTTACGTATAAAGATTGCACCTTGACCATAACGTGATGGGGAATATCCCCTAATGTAGACTAAATAAAATTGATAAATTCAAAATATTATAATTGTATAAATTAAAGTTATAGAGCTAAAGTTTAACTCTGAGTTACTTACAATTATACTCCAAGTGTTATTATAAATATTGTATACTGATAACTATTTTAATTATTTTAACAATTAAAATTAGTAACATTTATACAACTGTAATAAATTAAATAAAGTAATTGATATAATATAAACCTCGTTAAATAAAGTATAAGGAAGTGATAGAACTGGTTGACCTCCAATATACAGTATAGACTCATTGTTTAAAAGTATAGCACTATAGCCTTGAACACCAAGAGGTGCTATTGGTCCAAATGGAAATTCTGTCCAATTTAAATTTTGCGTGTCTAATATAATCATATTATATATATCTTCTAATCCACCATAGATATATATATCATTTCCCAAAACAATACATTGAAAAAGTCCTCGATTTATTGTAAAACTTTTTTGACGTTTTTGGAGTACTCCATTGTTCTGTTGTAATGTCAAATACGGTGGTAAAATTGTCACCTACCATGTCAGCACCACCAATATAAATAATTCGATTCTTATCCTCCCCATAAGTACAAGCTGCTGAGGCAGTTCTTGCTGGTAGACCTGTCGGTGGTGTAAGATTAACCCAGGGCATTAATGCTATGTCGTTTATAATAAATGATGTTGAAATATCAATATAAAAAAGTCTGAAAATTTAGAAAGTTCATTAATTCCACCGTAAAAATAAATTTTATTGTCAACGAGAATAGCTGCTTGTTCTGCTCTTGGCAGAGGAACCAACGAATTTACATAGTTAACAATGAAAAAATAGAGGTAAATAATAATTGTTATTATAAAATATTTAATCATTTTAAAATATCGTGTTCAAGATATACCTACACTACGTATTGTACTTGAAACTTTTTAACCAATTTTACGTTTGAAAATTTGACTACTGTACTTGTACGTACTTATATATTTATACAACATATATAATAATTAATCGATGATAAGATTGACACAATTTCTATACGTATTTAGGAACAAGTAAAATTGGGGGATAACGCGTGCATCAATCGCTATGTGTTATCTTTAGATTTTTTAGATCTTAGGTAGCGCACCCACAAAAGTTGCCCCCGTAATTTTACTGAGAATAAACAGCATTGTAGTTTGGTTTAGGGTTAGGAAATAAAGGTACTATTGGTAAAATTCCACAAGGTGCATTTTTAATTATGCCGCAGGTGGTTTCGCTTCATTGAACCTAGGTGCCGCACAAAAAATGCGCGGCAGATCCTCGATTTTGATTGGCTAAAAAAATTAAGCCGGAATTACTCATAATTTTATTAATGAAATCGCAGCCCCCATTAAGTGAAAATTGGTCCTGAGTCAATTTTACCATAATGCGTGCATATTTTTTAAAAATTTCTATTTTTGTAATGAAAAAACTAAAATGTTAATTCCGGCCGGAATTTAGTAAACAATTTTGTAATGCGGACCAAAATTTCAAAGATCTTCCAATCAAAATCGAGGATCTGCCGCTCATTTTTTGTGCGGCACCTAGGGTAAATTTTCGCTTCATTTGCTTACGTTAGACCTGAACTTGAGATTTGATTTGTCAAAATCATGGGAGAGCAATTTTTGTGGGTGTTCATTCCAATAATTGCATTTGTAAGAAATTGTGTAGATAAATAAATGACTATATATAACTTTGCGATGTATTGCCATTTAGATTATATTAAAACGCTTTTAATTTTAAAAATGAAATATGCGTTAAATGGATCCAAAATCAACATTTCTTTAACGATTTGAGTGGTTCGAAATTTTGTTTCAACTTAAAGCATATTTTAATTAACTTAAGTTGATTCTGAATCCATTCCGTTAGTGATCATTGTAAAAAATTTTTTCGCTCAAATCTTTGACTACCAAGTAAAAATCTTTACAAAGAAAAATGAAAAATACTAAAGATTTAATAACAGGTATATAATTATGATTTGTCACCGATATTCTTGTCCAAATCATGTTTTTATTATCGTTTATTATGCCATTTACAATTACGCCTGTGAATATTCGCATTCGATTCAGTTCTATGTTCGGATTTCACATTCTGAATGATATTGAAGAGTACTGGTCGTGTTAAGTCGAGATTGGATTTAATTTCATGTGTTCATGTTCTGCGTCAATCACAAAATTCTTTGATCCTCAATCGATACATGTTATTTTTCAATCTCCACCGATTGAAGAATAAATTTAATTATACTGTACTAATAAGATGACATAATAAAATAAATAATTTTCACAATATTTTCTTCAAAAATAACGTGGAACACAAATATATAGCATTCTGAATCGTGATTCTTTTGATTGAATCTTGAAAACATACATTAGTCAAAGAAAATAAATGCTGTTATATATGTATTGAAAAAAAAAATCCAAACTTTCCATATAACCCAAATTTAAATATCAGAGACACATTTTCAAAATTTTTATATCGATTAATTAAGCAAGCTGGAGACACCATTTGTGTAAGATACAATTATATCTCTCAGCATGCGGGTGAAGATGCAATTTGCTAATATAAATTTCGTGTTATCAGGTGAGTTTTCAAAAAAGTTTCGTCTAATAATTTCCAAAGGTTTTCTAAACTTCGTACAAGTAAAATATTAAATTTTCTAATAAATAAAGTAATTAATAAATTATCATTATATAAGCTGTTTAATATTGATTTAACATTGTATAATACAGTAATCAAATTATTTGGCAACTCTTTAGACAAATTGTCATGTTTCCACCAAGGGGTACGTTAATTTTAAATTCATGATTAGCATGCGTCAATTTCGAAGCACGTAAATTGAAAAATGTCGCGGAACATAAAAACACGAAAAAAGTAATAAGAATTAAAGCTAGTTTATATTGAATATACGTATTAGTATGTAAATATAAGGAACGATGAAGTGATATATAAAAAAATGCGAGATGATAGGGTCACATAGACCAATCAGATCTAAGATTTTAGGACAGAGAACATTTCAAATGTCACATACAATAACTATATTTCATTGCATTGCCTGGTATAGTCTCTTTTTATTATTTTTAATTGCTCAAATTCAGTACGTAATCTTTATTACATATATATATGTATATAAAACTAACATAAAAGCTGTACATTTTTAGATCTAAAAATAAAGTTATAATAATTAGATAATAATAAATTCTCATACGGATTACATGATTATCCAAATAAATATTTGTACTATAAACAAAGATTAATTATAACATATATACTTACATAACTATGTTGTTATATAATACAAATTGCCACATTCTAAGGTTTTATTCTTCAACTATAAACAATTAGGATGTTTTATTTAGTAATAAAATTATTATAATAATAAAAGGTTTAATATAAAATAATCTTTACTTACCGGGGGTATTACATGCTAATAATTTAATTTATATCTAAATAATTAGAGGATTACCAAAAAAAAAACTAGTCTTGTACTTAAACTATTGTGAAGCTTATACTCACCGGCTAGTAATTTAATTTACATATAATCAGAGATGTTTAGTTTAATATTAGATTATTATAAGTTTTATAATTTATAAAATCAATCCTATACTCACTGCCTAGTAATTTAATTTGCATATAATTGTTTAGAGTTATTTTATATAGATTATTATAAAGCTTTTAATATAAGCTAGTCTTATACTCACAAACTAATAATTTAATTTATATATAAATAGTTAGAAATATTGTAAGGTTTTTAATTTATCGCATTGCCGCGAAATAACACCACCTGCGCGTTATTTAGAGTACGCGCTTATTTTGAGACAAAGATAAAACTTGCTAACTATATATAATTATCTGTTTAAGGTGTGTGTTATTTCGAGACGCGCATGAGCATTATTTTGAAAACATGTGTGCTATTTTTAGAGGCGCGATTTTCCAAATAACGCCCAGCCTGTTATTTTTCAATTATACTTACATGCTGATAATTTAATTTGTATATAATAATTAGAAATGTTTTATTATAGATAAAGTTTTTTAATTCGTAAAATAGTTTTACTTACAAGCTAATAATAAATAGTGATGTTATACAGTATTTATGGTAATTATTATAAAGTTTTTAATTTATAGAATTGTTTTATACTTACCAACTAATAATTTTATAAATAAGAAATTTTTAGTTGATACTAGTTTACTGTATTATTAAATCTTTAATTTATTCTTACCGCCTAGTAATTTAATTTGCATATAAATAATTAGCGGTGCTTTATTATGAAAATTGATTTGTAAGATGGTTTTATACTTACATGCTAATTATATAAATAGTTAGAGATGATTTACTTATTAATAAAATTATTACGAAAAAATTAATTTTATACTTACTTTCTAATAATTTAATTTACATATAAATAAAGTGTTTTATTTAATGCTTGATTATTGTAAAGACTTTAAAGTTATTTTATACTCACGGCCTAGTAATTTAATTTGCATTTAAATAATTTTAGATGTTTCATTTAATAGCAGAATATAATGAATTTTGTAATTATTAAATAATCTTGTGCTCACATTCTAATTATTTGATTTACATATGTATAATTAGAGATATTATAACGTTTATAATTCGTAAAATAATCCTATACTCACCACCTAGTAATTTAATTTATATACAAATAATTAGAAATGTTTTATTTAATTGATTTTTAATTATAAAAAAGTTCTACACTCACCGGCTAGTAATTTAATATACATACAAATAATTAGAGATGTTTTGTTTATTTAATAGATTATTATAAAATTTTAATTAATCAAATAATCTTATACTCACTGACTAGTAATTTAATTTACATATAAACAATCGGAGAAGTTTTCTTTAGTAGATTATTACAAAGGCTTTCTGTTATGAATTGGTCTTATACTCACAGCCTAGTAATTTAATTCACATATAAATAATTAGAAATGTTTTATTTATTAAAATTTTAAATTATAAAAATAGGTTTATACTTACATACTAACAATTAAATTTACATATAAATAATTAGAGAAGTTTTATTTATTTAATGGAAAATAGAATATTATAAATTTTTAATTTATCAAATACGTAGTCTTATACGTATACTCACGCTCTAATAAGTTGATTTACAGATAAAAAAATTAGAAATCTTTAATTATAAAATTTTTAATTTATAAAATGGTCTTATACTCACCGGCTAATAATTTAATTTATATTTAAATAAAGATGTTATACTTATAGGTTATTATAAGATTTTTAATAGTATAAAGTCCTATATACTCACAAACTGGTAATTTAATTTACATATAAATAATTGGAAATGTTTTATTTATTACAATTTTTAATTTATAAAATATTCTTATACTCACCGTCTAGTAATTTAATTTACATATGAAAATTAGGCGTTTTTTTAATAGTGATTATTATAAGTTGCTAAATAATAAAATAGTCTTTACTCACATGCTAGTAATTTTAATTTCCATATAAATAATTAGAGATGTTTTTGTTTAATGATAAGATTGCAAAAAAATTAGTCTCATACTCACAGGCTAGTAATTTAATTTGCATGAAAAAATAGGTGTTTTATTTAATGGTAGATTATTGTAAAGACTTTAATTTATAAGCTATTTTATACTTACAGCCTAGTAATTTAATTTGCATATAAATAATTTGAGAGGTTTTATTAATGAGATTATAATGAATTGCGTAATTAATAATATAGCCTTGTACTCACAATCTAATAATTTAATTTACATATATATAATTAGAGATATGTTATTTAATAGTTCATAAAATAGTCTTATACTTACATCCTAATAATTTTAATTTGCATAAAAATAATTAGATATATTTTATTTAACAGTAAATTATTATGAAGTTCTTAATTTATAATATGGGGTTGTTCACATTAAAAAGGCCCATTTTGCAAATTTTTCGAAAAATGAGTTTTTGTAAATTTTGACATGACTAACATTTTTCAATTATAAATGAAAGGAGATTTGCATAATAAGAAAGAGATAATATGATAATATAAAGAAAATTACACGAAGCTGGGCCAAGCATATAACGAGATTACCCGATAGTAACCTGT